GGGAGAACACAATAGGACACCAACTGCCTATTTGCAATGAATCCCCTGCCACGGCTTACCCTAAGTTGGAGGAAGAATATAGAAGTCCCTAGTTGGCCTTCCTTGGCTAATGGGTATCACGAGTACTCTGGACAAATGGTGCGTCGTAGGTTAACTTTACGTCATAGTGAAACCAGATCTTTGGGGGTATATAGATTGCTTATGGTTAATTTTGCGCCGCCCCCATTTGACTATTAGAGACTGAGTATGGTATGCTGAGAAACCTCAATGGTTAATGGGGGATCTTCATATCCCTTATCCATTTTTACGCTCGGTAAGGTGGCGATTTCAGGGACACTACTGTTGATTCAGAAAAGAAGGCCCACAAGCAAGGTTAATGATGGTTTCCTCACAGAGAGATGGATATATTAAATTTTATTTATTTATTTAATCATATTTATTACATATATTGGTATCGATGCATCCTTTACTATCAGTAATATAATACTTAATTAGTTAAATTGCATTACAACTTTAGCTTTGATTTGACAAGCTGTACCATCTTTCTTTGATTCTGTTTCAACACCAGAAGAAAAATGATTGGACAAATAGCAACAGATGAATTAAATTTTTCTGCTTAATAATAATAATAACATCCAGTAACTTTGATATCTCAACCTTTTTATAAAGCAGTTGCTGCTTTACTAGCTTTAAAATGCTTGTAAGACATTTAATGTTGCTTCTTTCTAACAAACTCCTTTCGTATAACCCTATAGATCAATCATTACAATAGTAAGCATATATTAAGGAGACTATCTTTTTATATTTTCATAAGAATTCAAGAGAGTGCAAGTATCATCACCTATTTTATATGAAAAAATTATTCCCAAAGTATTGGCATATTTCTAAAATTAAGATAATTTGAATGGATTTATGTTGATTATTGTAGGGAAAGTCTAAGTCTGCCTTATTGGGTAAGTAAATTTTTTCTATATGGAAGCAACAAATGTCAAAGTAGTTGTAGTTATTGTGTACTAAAATTTAATCTCATGTACTAGCTGTAAATTTTATTCTAGCACTTTAACCACATAATAACCCAACCTATCTTAAATGCATCATATTTAGTACATAGCATCTTTTACCTCATAGTCCTCCTGAAAATGTTGGACAAGTTGTAAGAATACCATTTTATGAGCTAAATGCCCTCTATTTATTAATAAAACACCTTCTAATTTTACATTACATCCTGCCAGAAATGCTTCACATTCATCATTTTGTAGCTATTGTAATAACTATGCTATCTTTTGTCTGACATGTTCCTATATGATGTTGATGTTCCAAAAAACATTTTGCACCATTATATTCATCAATTGCATTTTTACGAAAAGCCAGGTAATTTTTCTTATAATTGTTAATCTTTAATATAAAAAGGAAATTTTTTAAATGAATGAGCTATAATTTTTTTTTTGGACTTTTGAATAAGAAATATATATCAATAT